CCACGCCGCTGAGGTCTTTATCAAGAGAAAAGGCAGGGAGCCTGTGTGCACGCCTGCTGCCAGCAGCTTTATTTCTAGTAACCCCAACCCGGAAACTTCACTCGTGTCCATCCGCCAGTAGGATAAAGCAGTGTGTCCCTCCCCACCACGGAGTGCCACGGGGCAGTCAGAGCCATCCGCGCGCTTGCGCAGGAAGCGGGAGAATCTCAGAGTAGTTACGCCCCGTGAAAGAAGCCAAACGGGTCTGGGGAGATGGCTCAACGGAATAAGCTCTTCCCTGGCAAGCGCAAGGGCCTGAGTTCAATCCCCGGTTCCGCCTGCACCTGAGAGGGCTGAGGCAGGATGGATCCTGTGAACTACACAGGGAAACCCTGTCAAGGAAGGAAAGAAAAAAAATACAAACTATGATGACCGAAAACAGACCAACGGACTGCACCTTTTCTGCCTGTCTCTTACACGTCACTAAAACCCGTCTTTTAAATCGCCCTGAACAGGCTTGGGGGCACATGCCTGTACTCTTAGCGCTTGAGAGACTGAGGCAGGGTTTCAAATTCAAGGCCAGCCTGGACTCGAGTGCAATCTCGCCTTACAAGAAAACAACCCTCCCCAGAGGCTTGGAGAGTGGATTACAGGCCTGTAGGTCAATTTCAGGAAGCATGCCCCAGCCCCTCAAAGAGTTTTTTGCAGCCTGTGAACCTGGAAGCGCTCAGCACCAGGAGGGTTGGAGCCTTGGAAACATGGGGAGCCTCGCGCTTTCCCTTTTTGGACTTCTTTCTCCTCCCCCCCCCACACCTCCTCCCGCTCCTTACTCCCTGCCGGGTGCCCAGGTGGGAAGGACAGGGCCCTGTGCTTGGGGTGAGGAAGGAGCCCCAGGGCATGGCTGGAAGAGCCACACAGGGTCGCTTACCAGTGCCAAATTCCCCCAGCCCCTAGCCACGTGGCCTGCTGCAGGGCCTTCCACCCAGACACCTGCCTTCTTTCCTAGATGGGCAGGGCAGCGCTTGCCCCACCCCCTTCCTCTGTGCCCTGCCTTAGTCTGCCCCCCACCCCCAGACTTTTCTACTACCTGCGCTGCTCTAAGCGAGGCCCATCCGTCTGTCCTTCCTTCCCTCCTTCCTTCCTTCCTTCCTTCCTTCCTTCCTTCCTTCCTTCCTTCC